AGTGAGACTCCAACTCAAAAAAAAAAAAAGAAAGAAAGAAAATGTTCATAATACAACACATAGAAAAAATAAAGTGCTGAGAAAAACTTTATTGTTTCCTGTGAAATAAAATGTCCCTTTAACAAAACTCTTTTCCCTCTGACTCTCTTGCCTTCTAGATTTCGGTACCAGGACCACACATTTTTAAAGACCCTTCACACTGCCATACAGCTCCTGTATCACCCAGAAAGCTCCGTGCGCACGAAGCTCACGCAGCTCCCAGTAGTCCATATGATGCTCACCCAGCACTCTCTATTTTTGCCAACTCTCCTGAAGTCTGAAGAGGAGGAAAGCCTGGACAGTCAAGTGAAAGGTGACCCCTCATCCCCTGCCTCCTGTTTCAGACCCAGATTTCCTTAAACTTGCTATGCTCCAAGGCCCATCTCCCACAGGCTCTCACAGCTGAGGAAACATTACCAAAATAGTATATGAATGTTTTATTTCTGTCAAATCCAAGGACAAGAAACATTTTCTCTGACTTAAGTCAAACAGCAAATGCAGACCTGTTTTTAAGACCTTGTCTGGCTTACAGAAATCATGTTTGAGATCTTACTGTGGTATTACAGGCTGATATTAGAATCTAGGAGTTGAGAAGTTAAGAAGTGTGGGAAAAAAAGTGTGGGTGTGTGACCTGAGAAAATTGATTAGTTGCATTACGTTTTTTCATGGGAAGACTGAAACTTTTATCAAGGGGAAAGAGCTAGACCTTGCCTGTTGATGGCTCACTGCTAGGGAACTCTTCTAAAGCCCAGGTTTAGGCTCCGTCCCTTAACTCAGCAAGTGTTCACTTTAGTGCCTATGAATCCGGAGTGTGGTGTAAGCTGTGGGAGGTCTCAGAGACTGGTCTGAAGGTTCCTGCCCTCTTGAAGCCACAGTATTTACAGAATTAACACCCCAAGGCTATTAGAATCACCACAAAGTTGGTCAGTAGTAAACTGCTAAATTGAAGACTGCCATTAACTAAATTACTGGTGTGGGTAGTAGGAATAGCAAAAGGGCCTCACTCTTCTATTCAGGCAAGAGTAGAAACAGTAGAGACTTAGGTAGGCTAATTATAAGGAAAACATACTTGGGTTTTAAAATCTTCGGTGGCTTAAATTTGGGACAGGGAATAAGCAGGATATCTAGCCCTGCCAGAGACCTAGGAAGACAGGTGATTGTGAGGACATGTTAATTTTTTTTAATGGGGAAGGGATTAGATAGCAGTCTAAACATCAGTAGTCAAAGGAGGATATTTCAAGCATTTAAATGTTCTCTGGAACACTTTCTCCTCTGCTTGTATTCAGTGTGTGTACGTTCCCTGCAGAGCTGGGCATTTCAGTTTGTTTTTCTTCCAGAAGTGCTGGTGGACCTGATGTCGACAGTGGTGAAGATGTGCCCCTCTGTCTGTGAGAACAGCCACTTTGCAGTGCTTCTCGGGGCCTACAGCGCCACTCTCAGCGTCTTGGGTGAGTGTGTGAGGGCTGGGAGGTGTAAGCGGGGGAGAGAGGACAAGGACTGAGGGCATAAGCAGGGGGAGAGAGGACTGACGGTGTGAGCAGGGAGGAGCTGTGAGAACTGGGTGGTGTATCCTGGAGTGTGTGTAAGGGGCTCAGCTTTTTAAACTGATCCTCATTTTCCTTCCAGACCAGAAGATTTTACTTTTGCTTCGAGAGTATGAGCAGAACAAGCTCAGCCTCATCAACTTCAGGTGAGTGTTGGGGGAAGTGAACCAGGTACTGGCCCATGGCCCATGACTGCAGGTCTGTCTCCACATAGGGAGCTCCAGACTTGAGATGCTCTCTTGTTGGTTTTGATTCTCAGGGAGAGGTGGACAGAACTCCCCTCGCTTACATCATAGGATTCTGCTTGTGGTCAGGGGGGCCACCATGACAACACGCAGGTTTCTTTTTCAGAAAAAATTTTCTGAAAGTCTTTCTCCTAATGCCTTACATTAGATGGAATGACTTATTCTAAGGGCAATTCTGAAGAAGTATGAAGAGGGCTGACTGGACAGAAAATAATCTACTCGTTCTTGTGTGTGTATGCACGTTTCTGTGTGTGTGTGTGTGGTTGTGACTGTCTTTCCTGGGTTCCCACAGGCTGCTCACCAGCCTTGTTGGCCAGCATAGCTTTGATCCTGAGGGTCTGGGCATGATGCCTTTCCCTGTGGGTCCTGCCCCATCTCTGCATGTGCCAGTGCTAAGCAGGACTTTGATCAAATATGCCCTTAATAGAAAGGATTATTAGATCCTCTTTGATGCCCTGGATTCTTCCTTTCTCCTTGCCACTTGAGACTAGCAGCCTAACGTCTGCTCAGTACATATATGAGGAGCAGACAGGAATTAAACTGGCTGGGCCAAGAAAAATAGTTCAGGAGAGGTGTTCAGGAAGAGAAAACTACTTTTGTTCCCGGAAGATAAAAGCTACATTTGCTCAGAAGCCAGCCCCCAACCTTGACCCCCCCCCAAAAAAAAAATAGAAACACTTTCTCTTACAAGTGACCAGGTCATATGTAGATGTCCTCCTTTCCTTGCTCTCATGCTCTGGCCTCACTGTAATTGCTCTAGAGTTTGTGTTGTATCAGTTGTATTCCTTCTGGAGAACGGTTCCTGCTTGCGTGAGGGAGAGAAGAGAGGACATTGGAGGCAGGGTTTATCACAGTGAAGAGTCATTCTGACTCTGTATTTCTGCATCAGAATATACTCCACCTCAGATCAAAGAAGTCATATGAGGGTGCCCGGTGGGTACGTGGGTCGGTTGGCTATGAAAGGACCTGGTTCAGCTCCCAGGAGACGAGTGAATCAAGGTGGTGGAACCCACAGGCTTTGTGTACAAAGCAGCGCAGGCATTTCTTCAGCCCCTGCATGATGTCCATCCTTAGATGAGGGAGCAGGCCTGCACTCGAACTCTGGGCACATAGTGTCAGTCCTCCCACAAGCGGGTGGTGAGTCTGATGGCAGCATCTAGTACTCTGTGTCTACCTGCTTTCCGGAAACAGGGTTTGCAGTAAACACTCTCTGACAGGATGATTCTTTCCTTTTTTAATATTAATAACTATTGTTTACTTGTATAGAAATGAGTCTGTATTTAGCAGAATTTTATTTCGAAGTATTTAATTCAGTAGATGTTCCTTGAGCACCTGGAGAAGAATGGAATAAGACACAGTTTTCCCATCTACTGAGGGTGTCAGACTATCAAGATTTAACCCTTGAAAAAATGACAGCTGACATGTGCCCCATGGTGTAAACCAGCTGTTAGAGGAGCACAGGAATAAGACTGTGTCTGCTCGGAGCAGCTAAGCTTTGTGTCAGGGCTGGCAATTGAAGGTGGTAGGTAGATTAATTGAAGTGAGGTTAGCAGAGGAGCCTGGGGCACCAGGTGGAAGGAACAGCATGCATGATATTTGGGGGGCAGGAACGTAAGGACATTTCGGGGAATGGTGCGTAGGTCGGCTTATCTGGATCATGGGATGTATGTGAGGGAAGTGGGTTGGGAAGCCTAGATGGGTGGATTGGGAAGAGCATAAGCCCAGGTTGAAGTATTTCCATTTTTATCCATCAAGGAGACGTTAGAGAAGTGATCTACATCAGAACTGGGCTTTTGGGAAGCATCTTGGAAGCGATGGTGTGGTAGATGGGGGTGAGAGGGAAGGGAGGGGAGTGAGAGGTGGGCCTCTGGCAGCTGCTGTGGGGGTTGTGGTTGGCATGAAGGTTGCACATGGTGTACACGTGGTGGGCTCTGCTGAAGGCTCATGTGGGCAGACTGGCCTGCTTGTGGCTGTGCATGGTCAGGGAGAGGTTGGGATTCTGCTGCTGCCGTCTACCAGTCTTGAGCCAGACTCCCCGAGTTTGAGTCCTAGCCCTATTTCATAACCTCTGGGGAAGGCTGGCTGAGCAGCGGGGACAAGGGTAGTACCTACCTTGTGTGACTGTTGTACAGGTTGAGTAAAGTGATGTACATAGAGAGCTCATGGTAGGGCCTGTACACTGTAAGCTCAGGGTGGACACTGGCTTCTGTCATCATCATTGTCAACCTTACTTGCTTCATAGGCTGTGATGGGGACTGATAGAACATGCCATGCCCAGAGCAGCACCTGGCGTGAACTAGCAGCTTGACAACTGCCACCTGTCGTGGTTGTTATCATCATCATCATTATTAATTCTGTTCCTGGGGGGACCCTGTGACCAGTGTGTTTTCCCCTCTCCGACCCTAGGGTGCTGCTGTGGGGCCCGGCGGCCGTGGAGCATCACAAAACGTGTCGGAGCCTGGGCAAGTCGCTGTGGCAGCAGCCGAGTGTCGGGGACATCCTCCGCCTGCTGGATCGGGACCGAATGATGCATACCATCTTGCACTTCCCTCAGAAGCGGAGGCTGCTACCCCCTGAGGTGCGTCTGGTGCTGTTCTGCCCCTTCCCCTCCAAGGACGCCGTGTCCACTCTCAGCTTCACTTTCTTATTGTTGTTTGTTAACTTTTTATTAAGTATTATTCCTGTCATATACAAAGCCTCAGAGACTGGACCGTCACAGGCTAAGACCCAACTTCAACAGTCATCAGCATTTGTTCACCTCCCCCAAAGCAGTCTTATTTTGAGGCAGATACCAAAGATTGTACCATTTCATGTGCAAACACTGCTGTTTAACAGAACCAATGTTGTTTTAATGTAAACTCTGGCAGCAGTGGGTAAATAGTTGCAGGGTACAGGTTGAACATCTCAGATGCGAAAACCTGAAATGTTCCAAAATCCAAAGCTTTTTGAGTGCCTACAAGAAATAGTAACACCGATGTGGTGGCTCAAACTTGTAATCCCAGCACTTTGGGAGACCAATGTGAGGGAATTGCCTGAGCCCATGGGTTTGAGAACAGCCTGGGCAACTTGGCAAGACCTCGTTTCTACAATATATAAAACAACTAGCTGGGCGTGGTAGCGTGCACCTGTAGTTTCGGCTACTTGGAAGGCTGAGGCGGAAGGATCACCTGAGTCCAAAGGATTGCCTGAGCCCAATATGTTAACACTGGAGTAGCTGTGAGCATGCCACTGCACTCCAGCCTGGGCAACAGATTGAGACTCTAACTCAAAAAAAAAAAATTATCTTTAGGCTATTTGTAAGATATGTATATGAAACATGAATTTCATGTTTCAACTTCAGCCCCATCCCCAAGATAATTTCATTATGTATATGCAAACATTCCAATGTCTGCAATCTGAAACACTGATGGTTGCAAGCATTTTGGATGAGGGATACTCAACGCGTATTATATTCGTTAGGTTGAATTGCAGTTTTGTTGGTTTGGGCTGTTTTAGGACACACAGGAGCCAATATTCAGAGACAAGAGCATGGTGGATCTTGACGGCCTATATGACCCCTGCTTTCTCCTTCAACTCTTCAGTGAATTGACCAGGCCAGGTAACTGCAACCTTCTCCCCTGAGGATGGGCCTGCTGTGTGTGGCTCCTCAGGTCACGTCGATTATGGTAATTATTCCCATAATTACCAGATGAGGATGTGAACCTTGAAAATAATTCTTCAAGGATCCTCAGCCATCTTCTCACCTTTTCATTACAGTGATTTTTGGTCAAATCACAGTGTTTTGAACATATAATGATCTTTTATAAAAATTTGTAATTTTAAAATCTAGGAGTATCCTTTTGTCCTTGATGTTTTCCTAATTCATAATGAGAATTTCCTGAGTTTTTACTAGACGGTGGTCAAATACCAAGAGAAATGAGAGATTTATCCCTGAGAGTGGGTTGGAGTCTGCTGGGGTTGGCTTTTTATTTTTTTATTTTTTTATATTTTATTTTGAGAAAGCAGGATTTATTAAGAGAACAGAAAAGCTCCCACAGTGGGAGGGGACCTGAAGGGGTTGCCCAAGGGTGTTTTTTCTGGTTCAAGTATATCTCGGATAGTGTATTTTCCTCATGTATTAGCCTGAGGGTGGTCTTTGTGGTTGAAGGTGGGGGGGGGGGGGGGAAAAGAAATACATCAAGAAACACTGAGATTGATCTTCCTGGGCTGGTCAAGTCTGTGGGCCTGCGCCATTCTGACAGTGTGGAGTGATAGCTTGCTGTGGCTTGAACTTGCCTTTTTCTAATGGCTAATGATGATGAACATCCTGTGACTTATTTGCTGTCTGCATATCCTCTTTGGTGAAATGTTTGTTCATATCTTTTGCCCATTTTCTAATAGGATTGTTTGTTTTTTACTATTGAGTTTTGAGGTTTCTTTATGTAGTCTAGATACTAGTTCTTAGAAGGATTTGTGGTTTGCAAATATTCTAACCATCTGTAGCTTATCTTTTCATTCTCCTAGCAATATCTTTCACAGAGGAAAAGTTTTAATTTTGATGTAGTTCAGTTTATCAGTTTTTCCTTTTGTGGATCATGCTTTTGGTGTCTAAGAACTCTTTGTCAGTCCCTAAATCCTGAGGAATTTTGTTTATGTTTATATTTTGTGATTTACATTTAAATCCATATTCCATTTTGAGTTAGTTTTTGTATGAAGTCTGAGGTTTAGGTCCAGGTCCGTATTTTTTTGCCTATTAATGCCCAATTGTTCCAGCCCCATGTGTTGAAAAGGCCATCTTTCCTCCTCACAACCTCTGGGCATGGGTGGGAGTCCCAACTGTTCGCTGGACAGTGATGAAAGGCCCTGCTCTCTGCTAGACTTCCTCTGACATCCCAATAGGGAGCAGGAGTAGTGTATTCTTACTGCCCAGGAGGGAGGAAAGTTTTGCCTTCCTACTTTGCCATCTCTGATGCCACCCAAACAGGGGGTTGGAGGCTCCTCCTCACAGCCTGGCAGGGGTGGAAAGTCTGGGCTCCCCACTCCATCTTTGCCAGCAGTGGTACAGTGAACTATTTGTCTGACGTAGAGTCATTATTGTCAAAAAGTCTCCTGTCTTGCTAGCCCCTTTTCCATTGCTTTTTCTAGAGAGAGCAGGCTTTTGTTGGGGTGTTTTTGCGTGTGTATCTGTTGATATTTCTAGTTTGCTGGCTTCCTTGGCTCTAAGTCTAGGACACTTGAGGCAAGAAGGCAAACCTGGAAACTCACAGCCTTGTTCCTTCATCTCGAGATCCCAGGCCCCTAGCTAGTCTGCTTTATTTCTTCCTTTTAAAAGCATCCTATGTTTGTTTTATATATAGTGTTTTAGTTGTACTTAATAGAAAAAATAGAGAAAGGTCTGTGTACTTATCTTCCCAGAGTTAGAAGTCTGACATAGTTAAATTTTAACTATGGATAGTACAGTCCCAGTTTATAGTTCAAGAGGTGCTGCGCGGTCTGCAGTGATCATCCCCTGCCCACTCGACCCCTGCCCATAGTTTGCTTGTTCTAGAGGGAACATATGTCACCAGTTCCTTGCATGTTCTTCTAGGCCCAGCTTGCTTTTAAAGGCCTGTGAGATACCAGTGGGGGAAGTGGAGGCTTGTGTTTTGCTTTTGCGCTCACAGCTAGCGTGATCACTAAGGAGCTCCCAAGGTCCTTTCTACTGTGTAAATTTAGGGGCATTAGAGAGACTGTGTTCCACGATTTGTCCTGTAGTCCCCCTTTGTAAACTTGAACATTTCTTCTTATATACAAATCTTCCTATTTATAAATAGGTTGGTTGATCCTCTATCACTACCCTTTTTTATCCCTTTAAAAATGATCAAAGAGGGCCTTTCAGAGAGCTGTTTTCCATCAGTAGCCCTTTGTGTTTGCTGTAGCTCACTTGTTGAGCACTGTGCTCTGTTGCTGAAGCTGGATTTTATTTGCAAGAAAGCAGGGGGCATCGCATACAAATGGTGTGACAGCAAATGGATGTCTTCATTACCTTGGTGACGATTAAGCAGCGGGTTGGCTGAGGCAGTCTGGAGTCAGGATGCTTTTCTGATTTCCCTTGTGCCTTGGCGGTGAGGGTTCAGTCTGTTTCTCATCAAACATGAAAATAAATTGTCCCCAGTCTAAAAATGCAAGGTTGTGGGACATTATAACTTGAGTGAATTTTAGCAATATATTGTCTGTTCCTCTGTCTTGCAATGGAGATTTTAGGAGACAAAGGGCAAAGACTTGAAAAATATTTAATAGTAAAATAAGAACATTGTTTTTCACAAAATATTGACTACTGTTTTTGTTTTTTCTTGGTGGGGGATCAGGGTTTGGGTGGCCTTTTATGAAGAGTAGTGACTAGTAAAGAGTCTTTCAAGTTAGGGAAATGTACCAGATACCAATTTCCTTACCGTTAAATCTCTGAATACAGCCTATTTAAGTTTCGTTGGTTTAATACAGGCAGAAAAATTTTCAGAGCATGTCTGTCGTAATCTTGAAAAGGATTTGGAATAGCTTAAAATATTGATTACACTAAAAATTCACATTAAAGTAGAACATTTCAGAAAGCATAATAGTGGAGAGGAAGATAGATGTATCCCCCCAAAAAAAATCCCTTCAAAAGTAGGTTTTTTAGATGTTGCTCTGGGCTACTTGTCATTCCAAGCAAAGAATAGAGGCCTGATTTTTAAAATTTCATTGACTACCAAAAGCAAGCACACCAGTTCATTAGGAGAAGAAAATTCCTAGCAATAAAATGATACTAAAAAGTATCACATATAGAAAAGTACACACATGGTATGTACATGGCTTGAGTTCTGGTGAGACTACTAGCCAGATCAAGTAGTAGAATGTAATGGGCAGCTCCTCAAGCCCCTTCCCTCCCAGGAGGGGCCCAAGTCTGATATTTGAACTCTGTGTCAATGGTGTTACACATAATGTTCTTCTCTGTCAAGCTTCATTTATCCTGCATTGTATCTGTGAGATTCAGCTGTGCTGAGTGTAGCAGAAGGTCTCAACACTTTGTTTTTAGTTCCTGCAGTGGCACCCAGGTCCAGATATTACTTAACTTCTAGAAGTCCTAAATTGGGGTTTTATGTGTGACTGCCAGTTATCAGAGGAACTACAGTCTCACTGCTCCATTTTCAATCTGTTGCTGAAAATGGGAACCTATTTTCTTAACCTTACTGCTTCCCTTCTTTGAGTCCTTGGCCAAGAAACAGGGCCAACCACGGCTGTTAGCAATGGCAGTGACAAATGTTTTTTCCATGGCAAACTCTTGTCCTCAGCAGAACGAGGCTGAAATCTTCAACTCATAGTTCACACGTGCCACAAAGCAGCCAGAACAGGAAGGTCTGTTTGCAGTTGTCTGAGCCTTGTCACCAGGCAACGGGAGCCCAGGTCCCACTGCCTCTTCTCATTGGGGTGAGCCCTACTCAGTAGCATGCCTCTGTGGGATATTGTGGAAGAAGAGGCTGGAAGAAGATTTCGGATGCACCAACAGCACAGTTACATCGCTACTAAAGCCCACTAAAACTGGGACTTTTTTTTAAAGAGTTGGGGTCACCCAGACTGGAATGTAGAAGCGAGATTATGGCTCACTGTAAAACTCCTGGACTCAAGGGATCCTCCTGCCTCAGCCTCCCAAGTAGCTGGGACTACAAAGCCACCATGCCAGCTCTGGGCACTTTTTGTTTTAATCTTTGATAATTGTCTTGGTTAAGCCGTGTGAATCCAAAGATCTCTTATCAGATGACCAAATTACTGTTCATGAGGTTCTTGAACACAGAATGGCATTTATAACTCGTTTTTAAGTGATCTATTATGTTTTCAACTCTTTTTCATGAGTGTTGCAAAGCCAAGACTTCACAGAGTAGCAGAGATGAACACAAAACATGAAATTAACTTTTCTTCATGGACACATGGGATATCCATTTGTCTTAAAATGTCAGTGATTACTAAATATACCCTGGCCAGTTGAGTACTAGCTGCTTTTAGTGAGTGTCATGTTAAATGTTTAGACTCTACTTTTTCCCAGATGTATCCCATTTACGTTTATTTGTTATGTAGGTATGTAGGTGTCTTTTAAACACATTTCATCTTTCTAAAACAATATATTATTATCCACAGTTTGTTGCTTTGAGAGCTTTTGGGTTTCTTTCCTTCTCTCATCAAAAATAGTTACTTGTTAGAAATGAGAAAATTAGAAAATATTCCTAAGCTGTTGAAGCCCAGGAGCCATCTGACTATCCTCTTTTTGTCCTTTCACTTTTAATCCCTATCTTGACGTTCAAGGTGAATTTCTTGAAGACAGCGTTTGCTTAGGTTCCGCTTTTTATCTAATTTGATCATTTTTGCCATTTAATTAGAGTTTAATGTGATTAGTGATTTGACTCAGTTTTATCTTTTTTGTTAACTTTTAGCTACAATTGTGTGTCTGTGTGTGCGCTTGTGTTTATCAGCTGCTTCAGGGTTTATAGCATACATCAATTTATGACCATTGACCTTGAAGTGAAATGATGTCATTTCACAGATAGTATAAGAACCCTACCACAGAGGAGATCCATTTCTCCCCTTCTGGCTTCTGTGTATCTCTTATCA